GCCCCTAAACACACGACCTTAATGTTTCGTTAGCGCTGCTCCCCATCACGATTATGGGCGATTTGTATAGTAAGTTAAACCCTATACCCGTAAAGGAACCCTTGTAGATCCCTTAAAGGAACCCTTGTATAGCCCCATTCTGGTAGCTCCAACTAAATTCCTTAGTTGAAGAAGCTACGTGTCAATCGTCGTCGCCATCGTCGCCACAACTGCGGTCAGGAGCCGGAGTAGCAGGAGCTAGGTGAAGCAGTAGCAGTGGCAGAAGGAATAGGAGTAGTGGCAGTGGCAGTGGCAGGGGCAAAAACAGTGGCAGCAGCAGCAGTTCAGTAGCACCAGCAGCAGTAGTAGTAAGAGTGGTCGTAGCAGCAGCAGCAGCAGCAGCAGCAGCAGCAGCAGCAGCAGCAGCAGCATCGGCAGAGGGAGCGCGCATACTTGATTACTGAACGATGCTAGCTCTTGGTGGAGCATCCTTTTTCGTGTGGGTGAAAACGCAAAAGTCACACAAACACACACACACACACACACCAGTCACAGTCTGCCCGCTGCAGCTAGCAATTATGTATACCTAAACCCTTTTGGAACCCGTAAAGTAACCCTTAAAGGAATCCTTAAAGTAACCCTTAAAGGAATCCTTAAAGTAACCCTTAAAGGAAACCCTGAAGGATCCCTATTTTGGTACCATGGACCCTTAGGGGGTTAGCAATGAACATGCTGCACTTGAAACCCACGAAGCCGCCTGACGCGATGCCTCAAGCCCACTACGAAGAATACCACACAGGAGTTTCCGGAAAGAAGGGGTGCCTCTTTTTTGGATACTTATAATAAGGATCCCACTGTATAGGGTACTATATTGGGGTCCCTTGTTTCCGGAAACCCCCACATTCATGACTGGAAAGTTGTGCAGACCCATGGCTCAAGTCAGGGATGTTGAATTTGAGGGTCAAGAAGTCAATCAGTCACTGTTCAACTAAAGCCCCCTTGGCCAGTATAGAATTGGAGTCGCTTCCCTCCCCCTCCTACTCCAGCCTAATGTATCCGCCAAACCCCTAATTCGCGAGGACGTCAGAGCCTGCTTCCCCCCAAGGGGCGTGCGAACTCTGGCGCAAAGAGTTTACATTCACCTGGATTTAAAAGCATTTTAGGATTTCGGGTTTAGGGTGGATTTGTAGGGTTTAAGGTTTTGGGACAAGTCAGCGCAACACAAGAATATCCTGGGGTTCCAGCTACCTAAATAATAGGTTATAATAACCCTGTACTATATAGCCCTGGGGCTCCAGGAATGGACCACGGTCTGGGCAGTGTGGCACGTAATGCGGGGTTTTCGATTTGTGAGAACTCCACAGGATCATCTTTCGGCTTAGGCTTAGGATTTAGGGTGCAACGGTTGATGACATAAAACCTGCAATACCAATGATAAGGACTATACCATGATTCCCATAGTCTAGGGTCATTAAGGTGGTGCATGATTTATATCATCAACCGTAGGTCTTGTTCGTTAGCGTCAGTCAGGATGCCTTTTGAGTCGAAACTTGCAGAAAACATATATAAAGCAACATATCCCTGTGTAGACCGTTTAGATACCGCCCGTCGTGCGGAATGCCCCAGACAACGGACCTGTAAGCAACTGGGCAGATCCATATGTGCGGGTTGTTACTACGAGGCTTGTACACAAATTACACAAGTACTAAGGATGTTACTAAATCACATTAAACTGCACCGAGGGTCTGTGAAGCACTGTTGAGATGATCGCCTTTAGGTAGTATCAGAGGTGCGTTTGGCGTAGTTCGGAGAAAAACAATCTAACTTACTCGTCCAATATCCCGGGCGGGAAATAAAGGTTAACTTTTGGGAGTATATAATGAATGTTGTACCCCACACAGTAATAGTACCCAGAAAGGTTAAAGGCTAGCCTAGCTACTCTACTACTGCATTGAAGGTCATTGGGAGGTTTCCTTGTCGGTGTCCCAAATCCGGGGGTCCAAAACTTCAGCTCCTTGCTGGACAGATGCCCACCGACTACCCTCTACGCTGCAGAAATATCCAGTAGTAAGGACCATAAGGGCTGCATTCAAGGGCACTTGGGCCAATTGGGGGATCCTGGTAAACCCTCCTAAACCCTACCCTAAGGCTCCGAAGAGGGTCTTGGGCTTTCTGGGGGAGGGTTTCGGCTTTGGGGGCTAGGGTCCGGGATGTCACTACAAAGGTCCAGGAGCCTTAAGGTAAACAAACCCTAAGCTCAAAGCCCTGAACCCTAAACTCTGAACCCGAAAACCCTGAACGGCAAACCGTGGCGGGCCTAAACATCAAACTCGTCCGGCTGTTCACCTGGCGGTGCTTTGGAAGCTTCGGGAGCTGCTGCATCGAAGTCCTTCTAGTGTTCAGGACTTAGGGGTGGGGGGTTAAGGGTTTCGGGTTTCGGGGTCTCAACAACAAACCCACCTTTGAGGGACCTAGTTTTCGGCTTTGGTGGGGCAAGGTGGCCCTGAACCCCCCAACCCCAAACCAAGAGATCTGAGGTGCGCTGTATGCCATTCTGCAGTTGACTGGGCTCAAGACTTTCCGCATACGGAAACAATCATCATAAAACAGATGTCGGTGGCTTTTCAGGGGTACGTTACGTTATAAGGGTAGTGCCAGCGTAATTGGACCGTTTTCGTATCAGGATTTAGGTTTTGGGACTAAGGCTGACTAAGGTTCAGGTCAGGGTATGAGGTTTGGACACGGAGGTTGAGAATTTAGAGGTCAGTTCATGCTTCTTACTTACTTGGTGTCCAACATTCCAGAATTCTTGGTGTCATACATGGCTACTGCAACGAATGACTGGCACTCCTCTACGACGGTTGTTGTTGCTTGTTGTGGAGGCGTCCGTCTGGGCACGGAGCAACGGATCGTTCCAGATTTCTACTTGGCGTGTTTTCCTGAGAACTGCCTGCTATCAAAGGCTATAAACACTTACAGTAATACTACTCGGCACTATACGGTCTTTATTATGGATAGCTTTGGGGCCCTAAACCTAGGATATGACAAGAACGCCTCACGACACAGCTCTACAAGTCGCAGCCAAGCCGTTGAGCGCAACCCGTGCGGAGGGTTTGTGGTTCATGGCATTTAGATTCAAACCCTCCTGCAGCATTTTTCTCCTGAGGCATGGGCACAGCAGTCGCTGACGATGCACCTGAGAAAAAGCGAGACATGCTTAGAGCAACGAGCCGAAATGCATGCCTTCTTGGCTGCAGCATAGTTAACCAGTTACACTTGAAGCCGCTTCACGATCTGAGAAAAATCAATGCAGGATCTCTTTCACGTACACAAATACCCCCACGAGATTTATGTATAACAGCCAGGAAGCAAGAACACCTCGAACCGCAAACCCTCAATCTTAAACCACAAACATTAAAACCTAAGTCCAACAATACAAGTCCTGGAAATCTCCACCAGAAAACCCTGCACCCCATGAAACCCCTGAACCCAAAAAGTCGCTGTGGAACTCCTCATAGAACAACGTATGCCAACCCGAAAAGCACAGGACAAAGCCAAGCTGCCGTTTACATTCTCGTTGTTTGGCGCATGCATCCCTGGCAGCCCTGAGGTCGGTTTAGGGTTTAGGGTTCAGGGTTTAGGAGAGGTCTGATAGGGGGGATCCTGGTACGGTTTAGGTTTACCGGTTTGGGCAGTAAGTATCCGTGCATACATACACAAAATTCTTAACCCAAAATCTTCCGAAAGCCATAAGCCCTAAAACCCCCAAGCCCTAAACACCCTGAACCCTAAACATGTGAGTTTAGATCCCTAGACCCAAACCCCTAAACCCCAAACGCCTCAGACCCAAACCATGAAATCCTCAGACACCCTTCCTGAATCTCAAAACCCTACAAAATACGGTTGATGATATCAATCCTGGGGTTCCTTTAATTTAAACGGACCTGTAAAGGTAGCTTTAAGGGGCTCCTTTAAGGGATCTAGAGGGCTTCGGGGTTTAGGGTTTAGGTTGATGATATAAACCCTGCATTGCCTTAATAATGACCCTAGACCACGGGAATGATGGTATATTCCTTATTATTGGTAATGCAGGACGTGTATCATCAACCGTGATAGGTTATGACCCCCTAATTACAAGGTAGAACCCCTAAAACGGTAGGTTGTTGGAACCACAGGTAAACTCCAAAACCCGTGCTGTTTGAAGCCCCAATGTCATGCCGGCCAGTAGGTTCAGCTCGAGAAGCTTAGGGTTTAGAGTTTAGGGTTTAGGGTTTATTGGGTTGAGTTTTCGGGCTAGGGTTTGGTGATTCTGGGGCTTAAACTTAAGGTTCGCTGTCCAGGGCGTTGGTGGTGAGGATTGAAGGATGGGTGTGCGCTGTAGGCAGTCGCTGGCGCTTCAGAGTTGAGGGAAACGAAGTTATGGCTCATAGGGCTTAAGGTTTAGGGTTCAGGGCCAATCCTGCTTTGAACCGGCCAAGGACAGGCACTTCGCTGGGAATGGCTTGTAGTCCGCAATCGACTTGCTTTGCCAACTTTGCGCAGCAGGAGGGGTAGGAGGACGGTGTACGGTCTGGGGATCAAGTTTCAGGGTTCGGCGTATCATCGGGATTCTTCAAAACCAGGGACCCTAATATAGCACCCTAAATTGTAGGATCCTTGTTTTAAGGACCCCCAAAATAAGGCATCTTTTAAGTTTCGGAAACTCTAAACCCTAAACCCCTTAAAGAGCTAGCTAAGGTCATTTCCCAGTTCATGCCATACGCCCTCACCTCAGACCCCGCCTAAACCTTCACCACAACTTCAACCCAAAACTTTTACTTTACGGCTGCGAAGCACTGCCGAAACTGCGCATCGCAATGGCACTCCTTTCCCAACGCAGAAACGTCTCTTTTCACTTCTGAATTCGTTTTGTGCTCCATCTTGATTACAACGAAGCAATATGGGCTGCATCATCTAAGGAAGCGTCGATTTCACGCAGGACACCACCCCTCTCTCCCACTCCGGGCCTGGCTTCTTGCTTCCTAGAGCGCTTGCAACAACAAAGCCGGGTCGACCATTGTTTCTACCGGAAGATCGTGACTCAGAAGGCCGTTAATGGAGAGCCGCCATGTCAAGTTGCGCACTATGTCAATGCACTTCGCTGGCTGAAATCTGCAGAAAGCCGCCTCGGCCATGGTATCCGGGAGGATGCGTTGCTCACACGCCAAAGCGTAAAGGAGCAAATAGCACGCAAAAACATGTTCATTCACACGCTTTGCTGCCTGCGATATACCAGCCATTGCCAAAAACGCAACTCGTGCATCAGGCGGACCGTGGAATTCAGCGGGAAGCAATGCAATGTTCCCGGAGTCTGGGCTGAAGTTACTTGCGTAGTCAGTGGTAACGAGCCAACCAGTCTCTGCATGGCACAATGTACACGTCAGATGTGTGACAATCAAAAAGTGGAAAACTCTTGTGGTTGAGATATAGGACCACTCTGGCCAAGAAACTCGAACTGTCGTGCAAAAAGCCTGCTGACCGCAAGTGGTAATGCTCGAGGAACAAGTCATGGGAGGCCCTAGAAGTTGCCGGTAAAAGTTGCCAGACCGTGTATGCATTTGCGAAACTCCAGCTCCAACCAAGGGATTGGCAAAGATGCTCATGGGCTAATCTTGAAGCGTGTCGGCCATCTTTGGCCACTTCATACTCTGCGCGGCCAAGGCCTAAACAACAGTCACGTCGCGCCGTTTTCACTGCCACTTGGGCTCCGTCCTTCAATGTGGCCATCGACACTGGGCCAAACGTGCCCTGCCCAAGCTGAGCGCCAATACGCGGTGTCATGAGCCGTGGCAGAGACCATAAGAAGTCCACGCACGCTGGCATGGCGATGACGTCCACCTTCACCGGGCTCAGGAAATTTAGAGCTCCTTGCCTCCGCTGGTGATCCTGGTGCCAGCCGTGGCAACCTATCGCGGCAGCCCCAAGCGCAGACAGCGGCAAAAACCAGTCCAGGTTAGTGACAGTGCTGGCCACATGAGCGAGCAATGCTTCCAACCACATTGTGAAACTGCGGCCTCTGACAGCAAGCTTGATTGATGTCATACACATTGGTTTTTGTATGTCTGGCATGGGCCTAGGGCATGTGCTTTCTGCACTGTGTTGCCAACGGGTATTTTGGACTGCTGGGTTGACATGACAAAGATAGTGCATCCTGGAGCCAAATGTGGGGTCGTCAACACATCCGTAGATTCGTGGAAACACCGCGATGCGTTAGGGCTCTAGGCTATGCTGGCGTTCGTTCCGTGCGTTTGGTTGAAGAGTCATTGCCAAGACCTGCTCCAAACAGGATTGAGATGATCTGTAGGCGTAAGAAACCCCAAGCCCAAAAAAGCAGGTTGTTGACAAAATTTAAGAACTGAAAGCAATTCTTGTGTGACATTCTAGCTTCAATACACACTGATCTGGGAGCGCCAAGAGAACACGCAAGCTTCGGGTTTACTATCCTGGTGCTGATGAGGGTGCCTGAAATGCCTTTCCCACGAGGTCCTACTTTAAGATTGTAGTTATGTGGACATTTTCCACATGATCCCTATATACAGTACTCCTTGCTTGAGACCGATTCACTTGTAGCCAGTAGTCCTGCTTGTTGGGAGGCTAGTGGCAATTGGCCCTTCGAGCTTCATCAAACTTAAATCTAAGGAAAATCTTGAAAAGGGCACACTCCTCAAGGTCGTGTTTTGGAATACAGTGTTATAGAAATTGGGTACATGTAGGCTGGGGACTAGGGTTTTCTATTAGGGGCGCATTTCCCAATTCAGGTTAGGATGTTGGGTATTTTATCAATAAGGTTATGGATCGTTTAGGTGGCTGTGGTTTAGGTGTAGTGGTATAAGGTTGGTTTTGGGATGCTGGTTTAATGATGGGGTAAAAGCGTAGGGTGGGGGTGAAGGTGTGGACGTGGGATGAACTGGGAAATGACCTTTGCTAGCTTATAGAACCCTCATAGATCCCTTTAAGGAGCCCTTATAGATCCCTTTTAAAGAACCCTAATTTTCGGAAACTCCCCGTATGGGCTTCCACCACACGAGTGCCTGTTCGTGCCGTTGCGCCATTTTGCTGGGCCTCAGCATACCGGCAAGGGTTTAGGGTCTAGGGTTTAGGATATAGGGTTTACAGTTTAGGATTATAGGGTTTAGGATATAGGGTTTAGGCTTTAGGATTTAGGGTTTAGGGCTCCATGCAGGCACAGGAATAAGCATTGTCTTAGACTTAGAAGTCTTACCGTTCAGGGTGTTTTGGCATGAGGGGCTTTAGAGTGCCAGGAATATATATAAATATATATATATATATGTAGATATATACATACATATATATATATATATATATCAAATATATACATGTATTTGTATTGTTTTATATATATACACACATACATACGCACATATATATATATATATATATATATATATATATATGTATATATATATATATATGCCCATAGACGTGTATATATATATATAATATGTATACATCTATGCAGCCTGTGTATCATATGTTTTTTTGAAAACCAGACGGATATTCAGGCTTCGAACTTCGGCTGTAGCTCAAAGTAAGGACACGTGCATCAAGTCTGCAGAGCGTGCTCTGAGGTAGGCACATCACCCAGGAAGGAAAACAATGCCTCCAGGTGCAGTGGCAGAACCCCACGTTACGTACGACGAAAATGTAGGGTCTCAGGTTTCTGGAACTTGCCGCAAACCATAAGCTCTAAAGCCTGAACTTGTATGTAGAACAACGGATGATCGATCGGGTTATGCTATCGCCTATTCAGCCGTCCGGCTTGCCAAGCGAAGGATTTTTCAGGCTAGCTAAAACACAGATTTGCTTTCGGGAAAAGGTGCGGAAGGACGGGAGTCAAGAGTACTACCACTGTTAAGGTAAGTGGCATGGATACGACTCTGATCATTGCCACCGTTCTTCACCGGCGTTGCGGTTGTCATACCACGGCTGCTTGGAAAGCTGATTGTTGATTTTTCTGCTGCTTTAACCTGATGTCAGGCGTGTCGGATTGCAAAATGCTTCTGTGGCCAGCCCCAAAAAACTAGACCCAAGAGTAACCTAGGAATAAAAAGGGTGCCCTTTTTGGGGATAAAGGTGGTTATAAGGGAACCTAAACCCTTAAAAAGGAAATAAGGGCCTACTCTGGGTCCTAGAAAATCAACCGTGAAGGCCCCCCGTCTCCCCCTCGTCCCTTTATGGCTGGGTTTAGGTTTTACGGCCCAGGGCTTAGAGGGTTTTACTGGCTACCCAGTAACCTAAGAATAAAAAGGCCTCTCTTTTTGGTATTGGGTAACTTTATAAGGAACCTAGGACTACAAAAAGGGAATAAGGGTACTACTGGGCATCCTAGGTATAAGATCCTGCGTTGCAATCTTCAAGCCCCTATGTTAGACCTCGGCAGGGCCCAGAACCCTTAAATGCACCCCATCAGTAAACCCTAAAGCCCTAAGGCCCTACACCCTAAACCGCCCAACAGTAAACCCTCAAGCCCTAACCCTAAACCTCTAAACCCTCAACCGCCCAACAGCAAACCCTAAAACCCTAAACCCTAAACCCCTGAAGCCCTAAAGCCCTAAACCCTAAACCGCCCAACAGAAAACCCTAAAACCCTGTATAGCCCGAAGACCCCCGAGCCCAGAACTCTAGAGACGGCCGAGCTCCGAAGACCAAAGCCCTACACTAATGGACCTACCCTTGGCATCTAAGGACTCATATTTTAAGGCTTTTGGGCCCAAAGACCATGTTATATAAGGCTTTTGGGCTATTTTGATGCCCAGGGTTAGGGGCCTTAATAATTAGAATAGGGTTCGTTTAAGGGCTCCTGGCTACTAATTGGATCTATAAGGGATTTAAGGATATAGGGGCTTTAATGATTAGAAACGGGTTTTCAGGCCCATTATACTCTAAATATAATAAGGAACCCCCAAAATAGTATTCGTAATTATTTCGCTATATTCAACCAATGTAGAAGCCTCAACGATTAGACTAGGGCTGTGGAGTTCCTTTAAAGGGGCTACTATAAGGGCTAGCATAAGGGTTCTACAATGCAGGGGCCTCAACAACTAGACTTGGGCTCTTTGGTAGCATAAGTATGGTCAGCCCTAAGGAATGATATTGGTAAGTTATTTGAGCTTCTAAATCTCAGCCCACACTGGAACACGAAGACCTTAAACAACCTCGCGCCCCAAAGTGGCCCAAGTGCCGTGAAGTCTTTAGGCTCAGAGTTTAGGGTTTATAAGCCCCAACCTTCACAATCCTGAATCTGAACCTTCGACCCGCAATCCTAAGTCCCTCAGCAACAGCCTCAGCTACTTGCGAGCACCCCAGCAAGGAGACACTCCAAAGCCCGCTTCTTCCGGAATCTACCTCAAGCCATGCTCAGGATCTCTATTCCAATTCAAACAATGCCCTATACAAACCCCAAACCCTAAACCGCCCGCCAGAATTTGTGCCTTTCCTGGGGATCCTACCTCCAATTAAGGGGTCGTAACCATAACCCTTCTATTTCGTAAGGTTTGCGGATAAAGGCTTCCCTGAGACAGTAAGGAATCTAGACTCTCTTGGGGCAATTATATAAGTCCTTTAAACCCTAAACCCTTACCTGCCCCTGTACTTTCCGGCCTTCTGCTAGACACAGTACTATAGTGGCCTTCATATAGAACCCTACTATAGATCCCTTATAAAACTGGAGCCCTTTAAGGAACCCTTTAAACCAGACCTAAGAGTATCCTAGGAATAAAAAGGGTGCCCTTTTTGGTTTAAAGGGGTTTATAGGGAAACCTGAACCCTCAAAAAAGGGAATAAGGGCCTACTCTGGGTCCTGGTAAAGAAACCTTAAGGGTCCTAGAGTAAGGAATTTAGAGCCCCTAAACCCTATGGGTCCTAGAGTAAGGATTTTAGAGCCCCTAAACCCTAAACCCTAAACCCTTTAAAGAAACCTTAAGGGTCCTAGAGTAAGGATTTTAGGGTCTCTGCGGGCCTGCCAGTCGCCGTTCTGCCCAGAATTGTCAGACCTTTCGGCTCCGCGTGGTTTAGGGTTTGGGGCTTTAGGGTTTAGGGTTTAGGGGTGTAGGGTTTAGGGTTTTAGGGTTTAGGGTTTAGGGGTGTAGGATTTAGGGTTTTAGGGTTTAGGGTTTAGGGGTGTGGGGTTTAGGGGTTTAGGGTTTAGGGGTCAGGTAGGGTTTAGGGTTTAGGGCTTTCAGGGTTCAGCCCTAAGGGTCCAAAGGCCCCAATAGTTAAGTACTGGGGTGTAGGATAGTAGTCATGCAGGTTACTATTTTGGAGAGTCTATGATAATTCGGTACAAGGACCCTAAGGGTGAAGCTCAACATATCTGGTGTTAGGGCTTGATGGCTTAGGGTTCCGGGTGGCTTGGGGTTTGGGTTTTAATGGTTGTTGTTGCTTAGGGTTTTGGGTTTGGGGTTGGGGCATGAGGGTCATTTTAAAAGGATTACAAAAGGGCTGAGGGTGTTAAAATTAAAAAAGGGGCTCAGTCAGGGTACCAGAAAATGGTTATACCATAGTTATACAAGACTTTTGAGGCTTTTGAAAGGGTTCGTGTAGTCGCTCGCCCCAAACATGAAACCTACCTAGCTGCAGTACT